ACTCTTTCCTGCCTATGCAGGGGGTTGGACTCGATGATCTATTGAGGTCCCTTCCGACCCTAACATCTATGAATCTACTTCTGGATAATAGAGCTGGTTCTACAATGAAAAAAAACACCCGATACTTTTTTCCTGAACCCTAGGTTGAAATGTTTAAGATTAATCCATATCCTCTACTTTAACCACAATAATAGTTTTCCTTAGGATCAAACATGCCAAGGTCGATCTTCAGATCTATTGGAGACTCCCTGAGAGAGACAGGAATGTCACTTCCTTCTGTTTTAAAATAACTATGATCTTTGTTTTTGCAAAGTATTTTGTAATCATTAGATAGATGAGGCTATAAAACACAAAAGTATTTTTAGTGTTGTTGTCAGTTGCTTCTGCCAGCAAATGTTCGATGCAAATATAGTGTTAGAAAAATATGAAAATAAAAATCATATTGAGTTTTCACTTCGAATAAAAGCAGGTGACCTGCACATTGCTACACATGTGGGTCTGTCAATGTCTTAGGTGCTATCATGAAAACAAGTCTGTTCACAATATATTTTTTGGTTTATACTTAAAAAAAAAAATAAAAATCACCACACACCATTCTACAGTGACAGTAAGTGTGCTCTGGTGAACATGCAGAGCTCTGGAGTTCTATTCCCAACTTTGTTACTGATTTCTTATATGGTCTTTAAGGAAGTTAATCTACCCAAATGCCTCAATCTTCCCTCATCTACATAGGGAGGGGATAAGGTTATGGGGAAGGTGGGAGGGGGGGGATAATTATCAGATCCCTACTAGCAAGCAGTTAACTTTACACGGAAGTGATAAATATAATTTTCTTCCCTTCACCCAATTTCAGACAGTAGTCCCAGTAGGAATAGCACTGTCCAACTTGTCTGGAATTGGGAATCTGGTAGATTCCTAATAGGAATCAGCATTTCATGTTAACTTCCAGACAGAAGGAACTCAATTTAAACCTGAGGCCCTTCTCAGATTATTCTCACTTCCACTTGTTTTCTCTGTACACCATAGAGCAACCTGACTGCTATGAAGTTGCAAGTTCTGGCTGATACAAGATTGGTACAACTCCCTCTCTGCTGAAAGCTGTTTTCTTGTTTTTGTTTGTTTGTTGTTGTTGGTTTGTTTTGGTTTTTTTTTGGGGGGGGGGGGGGGGGGAGAGAAGGGGACAGACGACACTTCCATTCAAGTTGTTTGAAGACTTGGGGCTGCAGCTGCTCATAGCTTCCTTAAGCAACAACTCCGTAACACTCACAACTCTCAGCTGTGTTTATTTCAGTCCTGGTTCACAGCAAGAGTGAAAGGACCGAGTTCTTGTCAGGTTTACTCAGCTACAGGCCATTCTCAGCATTTTTAGATGCAACGTTTTTAGAAGCAAGGCACCCCTTGGAAAATATCAGGTTAGTTTTCACTCGTGTTTTGACTATAGAAAAAAATAATACAGAAAAAATAAAATAAAGAATTAACAAAGCAAAAAAACCCAACAAAAATAATAAGATATCAAATTCACCCAAGGAACCTTGTCTGCCTATGTCCTTAGGCCAACACGGCTGCAACCTAAACCCCTGCATACAAATAATAATACATTCTTCTGTTGCATTGCAAGTTATTTACAACCATTCAAAACCACTTTAAACACTGTGGTTTCTTATCTGAAACTGCTGGGCTCATCTCGTGCATCACATTTCCACCCCTACGTGTGTTACCACTACAAGAATCCTGCCGAGTGCCACGAAGGGACCTCAAGCACCCCACCGTGCCACGACACCTGCTCCAGCAGCACTGCTCCAAGGCAAAGCAGAGCACTGGAGGCCTTTGGGCGAGGACAGGCCTTCATGTTCAAGGAACAGATTGCACTGAAGTGGATTTTCCAAGGGGAAGATGTTATCAGGGAGCTCCCTACTGTGGGAGGCGTTAATAACCTAAAAAGCAAAGTAAACCACCACCACCACGACACCTCGTCACCCTCAATGGGGGCACGGAGGGAGACTCCTCCCCACGTCCTTTCGCCTACAGCAGCCCCTGGCCCAGGTGCCTCAGCTCCTCGTGGGACGGGCTGGGCCCAGACGCCCAGCAGGGCAGGGGCGGGGGAGGAGCGCGGGACACTGCGAGGCCTCTCGAGACCGGTCCCCAGCCGCGGGAGGTAGGGGGGCGCTGCCCCCGCCAGCCCAGCCCGCCCCCCCCTCACCTCACCCCACCCCACCCGGCCGCGGGGAGCGAGGCGGCGCCGCCCACACTGACCTGGCGCCGCCGCTGCCGGAGGGCTGCCCCCGCGGAGCCGCGTCCCGCGTTCCTCGCACCACACACCTCCACACGGCCGGGCCACTTCACCCTAGCCTGGATCCCTCCGCCCCCTCGCACCCCGCTCCCAGACTTCTGCCTCCCCTGCAGGGAAGCTCCTCCGGGGGCCCAGAGAGGAAGCGGAAAGAACCGGCTACTCCCTCCGCCTCGGCAAAGAACGGGACTAAGAAAGAGCGGAGAACTACTTTGTCCCCCCACCACGACGGAAGAACACTCGCACCATAGTGACGAACGGAACCAGTTCATTTTTAAAGGGCCGGCGGCGGGGCGCGCGCGAGGCACGCCGGGAGTTGTAGTCTCCTCTCCGGCCGGAACGCTTCGACCGCGCTTCGTCCCGGCCAATGGACGAGGTGCTGTC